ATCTCTTCCAAACAGATATAAAGCATTTTCAGCGAATCAGAACAAAGCAGAAGTCACTCCTTTTCAAGCCCTTGTCGCCTTTTCCAAGTTGCAAAAACTGTCACTTTCACAACGAGGCTTAGTTTTATTTGCATGAAAATAAAAGCCCATTTTAGTTTATTGGCTTTACACTTAGCCTCGCTTGAAAACAGAAGCTTTGGACAACTCAAAAATTGCCTATTGCTTAACGCCAGTTGCAGTTTGACAGCGTTTAAGACAAAGTGCAGTTTTCCCGCTTTGGTCACGACGTTCAGTTTCCCGTGCTTAGCTACATTTGCACCTTTTGTTTCAGGTTCTCATAGACCTTTCCATCTTCCATGATATTATTTTCAGTGCAGGTTTGGCTTTGTTTTCAGAAATCAAACTTTAATGCTCTCTCTTCTTGAAAAAGCACTTCACGCGCTTTATAAGAATTTCTTATTAACTTTCACTGTCAAGAAGGAAAGGCTTAAGGTTAATTTTGTTTCACAACAAATAGAAAGCAGGCTTTAAAACCCAAAACGAAAGACCTAACCCACTTTTATGCCACCCAAACCACGCGAAAGTCTAGAATTTTGCAGGACAAAGACGTTATGTTTAATTTTCAGTTATGACCAAGAGTAGTGGTCGTGCCTTCGAAGATGATCGAGAGGCTCCCCCTGGCCCGCGTGCGGCGGCCCCCCCGGCCCCCGCCGACCAAGAGAGACGAGAGGCTCTGTCAACGAGAATGTAATCACCAAGGAACTAGCAAGCAAACCCAAACATACTTTCGGTCATCGCTTCTCTCCAACCGGAAATACGGAAATGAGTCTGAGTTCACAGTCTAAAGGAACTAACACTGTAATAAAATAAAGCAAAGATTACTTACCCTTTGTCCTAGCTGGCAGGAGCTTCCGAAATCCACAATCTTGATAGCACTTCTCTTGGGATTACAGAGCAAAATGTTCTCGGGTTTCAAGTCACAGTGAATAATATTAAGTTCCGGAGTAGAAAGATAAAGCAATGCAGTACACATCTGCTGAGCGAATTTCCTCGTTAAGTTTAATGATACTCCTCTAAAGTTCGTATTTCGAAGAAGGTCGTACAAGTTGTACGATAAAAGTTCAAAAACCAAGCACAGATGATTCCTGTACATAAAATGTCTTCTGAGTCGCACTGTTGGAAAAAAGAGAGAGACACTGTCAAAAATAGACTGTTCACAGTCCTCTATTTTTCCGTAAGATCGTCGAGCTCAAACTACTTAGGGGGCGGGGGCGGTTTGGGAGGAAGCGAGCCCCCCCCCCAACAACTATAATCCCCGACGCCCGCCCCCTCGGTACATTTGAAAATCAAGATACCCGTGACGGTAAGACGCAGTATATCTAAACGATCTCACGAAAAAATAGGGGACTGTGAACAGTCTGTGTCAAAAACTAAAACACGATGAACGTACGCCCCGCTGGAGTTTACGCATTAGAATCCTGTTTCTCTCTCTCACAAAGACGACCATTTTGGATTGGCACATAAATGGTAAAGAAAACGAAAACGACACTACTTTCGCATAGCTGTGGCATTTGCTGTCTCGTTTTCATTCTCCTTAATTTTACCTCTTTTTCGAAATTTTTGAGTAACCTTAACATGTTTTGCTTCATCTACACAATTTTTCTCCCTTAAATGCTGTTACGTTTCCCGCGCTTCGCATTAAGGACCAGCGGTACAAAGACATAAGGAAAGGGGGGGGGCTGACCATTTTTTCACCACTTGGTGATAAGTCCAGACATCATGTTTTTTTCCCAGCCTTCTGATGTGCAGTGGTCGAATTTATTTCCTTATTTTTTGGCGTCATCTTCCAGGTCTGTTCGCAGGATGATTAAATTTTTCTAAAAATAAAACGCCCCATCCCACCCCCTCAACAGTCAACGGCCGGCCCCTAGGGAACGACAGATCAGGAAAATAATTTAAACTATTGTGGCTTTCGTTAAACACTTCGCACGGGCCGTATGATTTCCAACAATGATCATCTCCTGATTTCTCCTCATATCAAAATCAGGCACGCAAGGACCGAGAAAAGAAAAGCTACCAGAGAAGTCCATAGTCCAAAGCGGGACGCAGAGATGGACCAAAGTCCTTTCTCCACTAACTGTGTTGTATTTGGCAAAAACCAGGATCATTTCCTCGAAATAAATCTGTTTTCAGAATACAGTATTACTGTTTTTACCAATTAAAATGATAACTTCAACTCTTTTGCCTCTATGACATAACATAAGACAGTGCCATTACATTTAACATTAAACGTAAAAAAAGGTCAATAGAGAATAAAGGACAAAAAACGAGTGCTTGAAGAAAACAATGTTTAGCTTCGAACATTCACCCACGTGTTGATATTCGTGTGCGTGAGGTCGATCGATGGCAAACGATAAATCTTGGACGCTCTTTTAGCCGAAATAGTCTTCGACAAAACTTGCGTGGAAACCGGAATCAGCTTGGAATGGCCGATGTAGAAAATTGTCAAATTTGGGGACCTTGAGCAGTTGCTCCTAATACACAAGTGTAATTTCAGATTTGCATGTTCTGATTTCAGTACGAGATGCGGCCTAGCTAAACAAAAGTGGATGGAAAAATTCAAAGTTAACCCCCCACCCCCCCAATTCAAAAATGTACTTTTTCCACCGGATACCTTACAAATTTTCTGGTTCATAAACTGATAGGATTTCAGTCTTAACCCTTTAAGCCCCAATATCCACATACAAATTCTCCAAACTAATCTCCATACATCTACCTTAAGAATTAGTTGAGAGAATTTGATAAAAGATCATGGAATTTTCTCTATAGTCATCATTTTATTAATTCTCATAACTTTATCTCTTGACAGTGTATGGATATTGTTAGGAGAAAATTGATGTTGAACACTATTGGGACTTAAAGGGTTAAAGAAATTATTTAACACTGCATTTCTCTCCAACATGCAACGCATTTTACGAGGTGTTCGCCTCCTATCCAAATTACTATCTTATATCACAAAACGTTACATGCGAAAAGGCTATAACGTGATGGGAACTCCAACGCAACGAAAAGCTCTGGAAACGGGAAAATGCTACCCTGACTGCACACGTCCGTTCACGAATGAAATAAACCGTGCGCACGTAAGGAAGTAGAAAACATAGGAAACCTCTGGCACCCCGGGTAGGAAAACGCGTTCCCGCCGGGTCACTTCATGTTATTTCCCTAGTCGTTTAGCTCCTGGTCAGATTGCTCCATATCATCATCATATAATTTCAGAAAAATGGCCTGCACACATACCTACAGGTTAATTCTTTCTTTTGTTCTTTCATCAGAGAGCAACAACCTCAACATAATAATTTTACAGGTGATTTTTGCAGGCATGGCATCAAAATGTCTAAATTTAGTCTTGAACAACAAAACTGGATTATTATTGTTGGAATTCGATAGATGCGGAAAAAAAAGTTACAGCTGTTTAAAAAGATGGCAAGTAGCGTGACATAGCTACTTTAACTAGGGGGGATCCCCCACCCCAAGGCTTTTGTTATACTGTCATCTCGGTTACAAAAGGGTGCGTTATGCAACAAGATTCCACTCTATTGACTACGATTTCTTACCTATGTAATATTTTCCCTCGGGATCATGTGCGTTCATAAGTTCAAGCAACCGAACTTCAATCTGGGCCTGATTTAAAAATGGCTTTTTATTCTTGATGATTTTAATGGCGATGTACTCTTTTTCTTGATGGTCGTAGGCCTTGCAAACCTACAATAACAGAAAGAGTGAAAAACATGTAATTGATATCGCTGTTTGTCGACCGAAATGCGCGCACTCGTTGTTGTTGCTCCTTACAAATCACTTAGCACCAGCTATCACCGGGAACAACAAAACGAAACCTAATAGAAGGGTAGGATGTCTAAGGTGATTTAATTTTGGTACTGACTTCTCTGGGTAAAATCCCAATTTCAAATGAAACAATAGTTAAACACACTCGAACAAAAGCATCTTTTTCGCAATGAACTCAAGAGAATTTGTGCGTTTTGGTAGGTCAACTTTTAGATCAAATCTAGCCTAGTTCTAGGAATACTGTACATATTAAAATCAAGTTAAGAAAAGCAATAATGTTAACAACAGGCTATACCAAAATATATTGACGGATTAACATTTGAAAAAAATCTGAATAATCTTAACTTCTCGTTTGGAAGACAGCAAACCCATAGGGAAAACCCCTTCAAACGAAATTTGCATAAAAGGAAAAACCCGAATTTTAATTGACTTCTTTCAAAAATAAAGAAAATTGTCGATTGATAAAAAGCTCTTTGTTTGCCTACAGCTTTGCAACAAAGGAAGAAACCATTTAAAACTGATGTTTAAACATTTGAACAGAAATTGGTTTTCTTTTAATCCCATAGCTGAAGTTTTCTGATCAAGCTGTAATTTCTCATTTCAGCAATCAAGCTACAATAAACAAGTTAACAAAATAATCCACCAAAAATAATGTAAAAAATATATCTTAAAAAAATTGTGACAAAATTATGCGGAAAAAATCTGTTTCATATGGTAATTTACTTATTACTCCATCAAAAACACATAAAAACACAATTTACAAGGTTGTTCTAAATACCTGACCAAAAGATCCCTTTCCAATCAATGACTCTATTTCGTAACGATCAAACCACTTTTCCCCCGCTTTAATAACATAGTCAAAATTTTCATCATCATATCCATCATTGTATAATCGCCTTTCTTTCTTGTGTCCACCGTCTTCATTTTTCTCTAACTCCTTCCGTTTCTTTTTCTTAGCATAGTACACCTGAAAAAAATATAACAACCTGGTAAATGACCTCACTTACCGTAAGTTTCCCTGTAGTCTAATGGTTAAAGCATCCTGACCAGTGGTTGTGTCTTTATATCACTAATCCATGCAGGCTTACAAACCTTTACACATACCATTTACTTTTGCAAACGTTCCCTTCCTAACGGACAACTGTAGTCATTGACACATGCTAGTCGAAAGGGTCCTTTCACTAGGTTTAGGCTATCGGACAGCACTTTTGCTGCACTCTGTCATGGGGAGTGGAAGCTCTGGTATGAAAGGGGGAAGGGCTGTTTATCCACTTGCGGATTCTTGCTCCCTCTCCTCCCTCCCTGCCTGGTGGTTTTGTAAGTATTTTCTCAGCTAAGTATTCTCTTGGGTAACTATCTCCACTGAATTTATTCAGTGTGACGGTGCCGGTTAGTGCCCGCTCTTAGGGTGGTTCCCGCTTCCAGGGTTGCCATGGATACCTCCTCTCTGCTTATTGCATTTGTCCCTCCACTAACCTTTTCAGGCACCTGCTCCAAAGCTTATCATTAGCGATGAGTTTAATAGGGGTGTAAATTCAGTGTTCTCCCTAAACTTCAGCTCAACAGGTAAGGGACCATTCATGGCAGGTAAGGCAGAAAATATGCCCCAGAGGTGCACTTTCCAGGTGAGTGGGGGGGGGGAGTGTAGTAGTGGAGTGAGGGACATGGCCCCACCCTTGGAGGAGCTAAGTTCTTTGAAACATCATTCCCTCATTTTAAGACCTATTTTACGTAAATCGGTCGTTGATATCTTTAGACAACAATTTAAAACGTTTGATCCCAATAATGTTTTCTCCCTAAAATGCGTGGCCCATAAAAAGAAAAGCTGAGTATACTTTAGGTCTTTCCCAGTATATTCATTCAATTCCTTGATCGGATCACAACTTGTGTATTTTTTAAAACTACTTATTTCATTTTAGTAAACCTTCAAGCGGTTGCAGGCAGTAAGAAGTGTTGCTTCAGTTGGTAAATTTTACTGGCTAGCCCCTGATAAGGAGAACACCGGTAAATTGCAGCTTTTGGTGCCATGAAGGGCATTCAGTACAAGTTATACCAAGGTATAAGTAGAATATATAGTTGTTATTGACCAAGCATAGGGTCAAGATGGGTAGATATTGGCCATGTTATTTCTTACATCTTATAAACTGAGATGAAGTTAGGGTCAATAAAAATGCAAAAACAAAATAAGGCCAATATCCAGCCATCTTGGTGACTGAACGAGCTTTGTGATGGCCAAAAAGGGAACTTTTTCTTGTGGGACCAATGCACGAAATAGGCCATCTTGCCCACAAGGGTAGACACAGGATTTGCTTCATCTTGCCACTTTATGAATATTTCACTGCTTTTTACATCTAATTTAATCTAGCCTGCGGACAGGCTCCCAAATGGCGCAGGACAAAAAAGGAAAAAAGGGAGCAAAGTGGGGGAAAGAAAAAAAAAAAGCGAGGGAGCCTGTAGACTTTGTTTTGATGTTGCTCAACTGCTCACTTGCAATTATCCTGTAACATAGGTGTCAATAATATGTCAATAAGGTAATTAGACCTGTCAAATTATGATGTTTTTTGGCTTGAATGCATCAGCTTAGATAACATTCGTGTGCATGTGAGTATTACTCATTGCTCACTTGTCAACAGTTACCGATCTGACCAATCAGATCGTGATACCAGAATCTGGTAAAATGAATGGTTGGCATCAAAACAAAGTCTACAGGCGCCCTCACCTTTTTCTTCCCCAGGCCACACTCAGCTCACTTTCATCGCCGATCTTCTTTTTTGGTCCGCTCCACTTGGGAGTCTGTTCGCATGTAGTCTAATTTACATGTATCTCAAAATGATACCATTAGACTAGCGTGCAAAGAAAGTTGTGTCCGATAGGCCGGGGCTAGTGGATTTTGCTATGGGGCTAGTGAATTCTGTTCTTAACTTGCCCGATGGGCAAGTGATGTGTTTTGAGGAATTCGAATAACAAGAACTGTGAAATCAATTCTGAAAGCTTTTGGGGCTAGTTGAAATGACGTCTGGGCTAGTAAATGCTAGCTTCAGCTTGCCCGAATGGCAAGCTGTAAAAATGATTTTCTTTGCACCCTGCATTAGACATTTTAATTACCTCATTAATATGCTTGTAGGTTTTTATCAAGTCCACACTGAGCTTTCTAAGGGGTGCAGAGCTTGGGTCACGAAACTTCGTTGGGATTTTGCTGTAGAAATTTTGAACTCCAGCAAAATCCACATCATCAGGTTGTTGATCTTCTATTTTCCCAGCAATGTAATTCATGTCAGGAGCTAAGAAATTTGCCCTTGCCTGGTCGTCATTGCTGACTGAATGAAAAAGGAAAATGCACTGAGTTACCTTTACTTAATAGCAACAATCATAAAGAAGGGGTATTTTGCAGAACGCAAGAGGTGAGCTGCACACCCAATGACTCTGAAGTTTACTGATTAGGATAACAAAACTGAGTGAAACAAGTTTCTGTTCAGTCTGTAATGACCCTTACTGGAACTTGATATGCTCAGTTCTCTAACCCAAGTCTATAACTTCAGAGACACTTCAGGGTTTAGCCTTCTGAAAAATAACCTAGCCAATATAACCATAGAGGAACTGCTACATGTAAATAATCTCTCTTCCACCTGCCTTATGACACAAAATCAGATACAATACCAAGAATTTGGCTTATATCTTAAACATGCTACATTAAACAGTGCTAAATTTACTTTTACAAAGAAAAAAAAGGCTCACCTTTGTCAGAAGTTGCACCCCTTAAAGGATCCATCAGCCTTCACAAAGCATCTTAGCTACAAAAAAATAAAGTTATCTCAAGTCAGTTGACTTTTTCTCACACTTTTTTTACTTCTAAAAAGTAGACTTTCTTATGGTGCTTTGAAATGCTTTCGTCCAACTGTACTTTTATTTTAATGAAAGGGTATTTTTATCTACAGATAAAAGGAATTCATTCCAGTCAATATTCTTTGAAAAACATTCAGGCTTCCAGGGGATTTATATGGGTGATCCTGAGAGACTAATTAAATACAGAATGACAACACAGAATCAGATCAGGGAGGTTTCATAAGAATAAATCTGTTCTGAAAGGCTCTAACATGTAAACAGTTTAAAGAATTTGAAGGCATTGCTTGCTAGGAGCAAATAAATAAAAATGAGACTTGTAAAACAAAATCACCACTGAGTATAACTTTCATGAGGACATTGAAAATGAAGTACTCTTAGTAGTGGCTCAAGGCATACTGCGCAAGTGGAATTGGTGACTGCAATAAAAGTGATGTTATTCACAAAAGAAACTAAGTAACACAGATTTTTAGGTTGAATTCAAAGCATTTTAGCGTCTGTAAACCAGAAATAAAATATTTCCAAAAGAAAGTGCAGTTTACACGAGTTGTCATCAGCAATGCCATCCCCAGATCTGGGCCAAATTCAACACAAGAAATTAATTAAAAATGGCAAAAGGTATTCACATTTAACACTTTGGTAAAGCCTTAATTAAAATGTTTGAAGTGCCACTGCCAATAAAACACCAATTTCTCAAAACTCAGTCATGATCACAACACCCTGTTCCAGAAAAATGTTTTAGATGAAACATATTACTACATTGCCATAAGACTAAATTCACGACGTGTGCAAAATTTGATTGTCTAACGGCAATTTTCTAATGAACAACAATAATAATAATCATAATGGTAAAAATCTAGGAATTAAATGTCAAACTAAACTGATGTCCAACAGTTTTCTAGATTAATAATAGAAATCTTCACTGATTTTATATAACAAAAAAGTTCTGTTATTAAGTTAAAATCTGGACAGCAAAAAATCTCTTTTGTATAGTCAAAGGCATAAATTTGAAAACATCATTTCAAAAAAAATTTGGATGAAAAAAGGATTAACTTTAACTGGCTTTAAAGTCCAAAAATTTCCACTTACAAGGACACACCTTGCAAGAAAGGAATTACTAGAGTATAAATTTTAATGCAATCACCATGTGAATCTTGGCATTTACATGTATTGAAAGCTACCTGTTATAAAACTACATACAAATCCTATCGCTGACAGTTTTCTAGCCTGATATCAATGATATAAGTTGCATCCTTTTTTTGTACAAAATGGATTTTTCACTCACATCTTTGAAAAAAAACTACACATTTTCATGCACAACTCTTCACAAGTCAACCACAAGCCTTACTACGGCTTAATAGTGATGAAATTTTAACTTTTTTGTGATATCGACTCACATTCAAAGAACTTGCAGTATGACAGTTTTCTTCTTTTTCTGCCAAAGGAAGGACATTTGCAATGACACTTGATCAACGCCAGAGGTTAAAACTTTGCAAGATCAACTCTAGATCTGCTTCATAAAAGTATGCTTTGATTGATGCAAGAGAAGTTTCATTGACCAACAAGTGACTGTGATGTATTTAATAATAAATCAAGAATTTCAACCAATGACAATTAATTGACTTCAAGCAAAATTAACACACACAACAGCAAATGAAATGCTCGGATCACCTGAAGAGATAGCAAGCTCAACTTTCCCTTTTTTAATTTTCTTGAATCATGGTAGCTTCTTTAAGTTAATGTTTTATTCAAACTAAGCAAATAAACTCCAAGTCTGACAAAACCAAACAGGATCATTATCATGATACTTTAAAGTAAAAAATCTGAAAACAGGCAAAAATCTTCAAATTTACAGAACAAAAAAAACTACTCTTCATAAATAATCAAATATAATTATATTTTTTTGGAAAACCTGATGCCAATGGCTATGAAAAAAGAAACTAATGCAACAAAACATCCACGTAATTAAAAATTGCACATTACAAAAATACTAGGTATTTTTGACAGTGCTCATGTACATATACATGTGCACAGTCACAAGAAGAATATCACAGAATTATAATTATGTGTACATGTCCTGTGTGTAAACAGGTGAAAAGGGGTTAGAAATAGGAAATCACCAATATCATTTCTGTCTTGATATTAGGTTATCAATTTCTCAAAACTTCTCAAAAGTCACGTACGGCTTTAACCAATTAACAAATAATTCACTCCTGGATGAAGTTAGCAGGAGATTATTTTACAACTGTGATGAAGTCCTATGGTGTTACCATTAAAAAAAAAAAAAAAACCTCTTCAGCAGTATTTTACATGGTACTAAAGTGAAACCTCTACTAAGCAGACCCCCAATTAAGTGGACACCCTCTGTTAAGCAGGTACTAAGCCTGGTTCCGAAACAAACATCTGATGTTTCCCTTTATAACGAACCCCTATTTAGCAGGCACCTCTATTAGGTGGATGCGACACTAAAATAAGTTGTATTTGGCTAATTTCTATTGTTAAAAACCTCTATCAAGCGGACATCGGACTGAATTGATACTAGTAAACTTACTGGATTACGTCCTTGAAATATGTACTGAAGTCAGTTAATGTTTTTGCATTTACAAACTAATTAAAGTTAGTAATGAAAGGTAATGAATTTGAACCCTGGATGGCTTCTTTAGCAACATGCAACTTTATCACAGTACAGAGTAACCGCTGAATGTTGAATGTGCAATTTTTAAAACCTCTATTAAGCGGACACCCTCTATTAAGCAGACACCTGGGAAGGTCCCGAAGGTGTCCGCTTAATAGAGTTTCACTGTATTAATTTATTATGTAGCTCTAACTTTTGAGTCTGTGGATGAAATCCTATGGTGTTACCATTCAAATAAAACCTCTTCAGCAGTACTTTCACATGGTGCTATTTATTTAGTATGTAGTTCTAATTTCTGAGTCTGTTGATGAAATCCTATGGGGTCACCATTCAAATGGAGCCTCTTTGGCAGTACTTTCACATGGTACTATTTATTCAGTATGTAGTTCTAACGTTTGAGTCTGTGGATGAAATCCTATGGTGTTACCATTTAAATGACACCTCTTCAGCAGTACTTTCACATGGTGCTATTTATTTAGTATGTAGTTCTAACTTTTGAGTCTGTGGATGAAATCCTATGGTGTTACCATTCAAATGAAACCTCTCTGGCAAGATATTTGATTATCTCTATGAATTTTCTCTTTGGCAACTATTACTGTAAGTGAACAGGCTGTACATGTGAACTCACAGTTTAGATTCATACTTTTCTCCAAAAATTTTGGTATTTAACCCCCCTTCCCGCCATTGTAATTTCCAATGACCCTCATTGGGTCAGGAATGGATATTACATTATACATCACAGGGCTCAAAATTGTGACTGATACGGTCGCCAAAGTGACTAACATTTTCTCCTTGGTGACTAAACATTCTGGTTGGTTGCCACTTAGGCGACCAGATTTCTCTATGAATTAGATTTAAAGTAAAAGAGTAAAGTTAAAACAAACATTTCATCTTATCTTGCTGTGCTTTCATCATAAAAATGTGCCAAATCGCATAAACAAAACCAGTTTACCTCCAAATTTATACTGACTTCTGTCCACGATATTTTCAAAACAATCAATTCTGATGGTTCGCGCCATACTATGAGCTGCATCATCATTTACATTATACAAACTGGCGACTAAAAATTTGTATCTGGCGACTATATTCCTCCAGTTGAACCTGAGGATTTTTTAAATTTCGAGCCCTGCAAATACATCTGCTTTTCACAGGCTATGCATCACGGAAAATTGTTTGAAATTGTCTCATGGAAGGAGGACACTTCATCAGATGTTATTTTTATAAGCTTTTTCTGCCACAGAGAAGCAAATGATAGGAAATTATATACACATCAAATTTTGTTTTTCAATTTCCAACTGTAGTTTTAATTTTATCTCCAGTATAAAGGCAAAAATCCTAGAGTAAAATATCAATATACTATGGCAAGTTTTGGAATGATCAAGACTTCATTTAAAATTGACAAAAGAACAGCAGGTATGTTAAACGGAAACTAGCATAATAAAAGACAAATCTAAATAGCCGTACACATATGTTACTGTTTATCACATATTCTTTGCAAAATGTCAGAAAGGCAAGGCCTTTAAGCTTTTACAGAGATTTGAAGCAATTAGCAAAATGTACAATGTATTACTGTCTTAATGTGTTGTTAAACCACTATTGCATAACATTTAAACAATCACTTTAAAACCACTTTGGTTGTTTGTATATTGAAAACAACCAGAATTCCACTCAGCAATTGTTTTGCATCGAAATAGCCGTCACGCTAGTTTCAGCCTTAATTGATCAATCAGTTGGAACAAGGCAAATGACACTAGCTATAACTCACCCATGACTAGATTTCACTTTGGTTTTACCAACCAAACAACACTTGAACACTGAGGTAGTAGTACTAGCACTTTTCAATATTAGTTGCTGTGATTACATGCTAGTGTTGAAACATCAGCTCTCAAGCTATTAGACCCACACGGCCAATCTACATTACATTAGCACTCTTCCACACTCACTCTGTACAGCACTGAGAGCCCACATTTTTAGTCAGAAACTAAGCTCTTGATCGATGTCATGACTCGCAAAACAACACTGCAATCTTTGACACATGTTACTTGCATGCAGTGATTTCAATTAAGTTAATTTCTATTTTGCAGAATATAAATGGTGACACTGTATAAGACTTTAGCAATGTCAGGGCCGGGTTACCATATTGTTCATAAAAGTAAGGCATGAGCTCAGGAAGTATATGTATTTCTTTGGCAAAATTCAAGATTCAGACTTGGATTAGCTAAGCCAAGTGATAAAAAACTGCTAACAGATTCTTTAATATAGTGCAACAGCTATATGTGGAAACTGACAGGAACATGGTAAGAGTCATGTTTTTACAGGAGGACTACTTGTTGTACACAATTCTTTCTGACAGAATAAATGCACCAAATCTCTACTCAAGCTGCAGTGACTTCTGGCCTACTTGCAGTGACTTTTGGCCTTGAGCAAAAAGAAAATCTTCATTTTTGCCAACAAAATATAATTATTCCAAGAGGATTTCATAAATTAAAGCTTTTGGGCTCCCCGCATTTTTCCAGGGATGTTGCCAAGAGCCAGCGACCAGCTAATTCATCGCCTGAAAAGGAGCTTACCACTGGCTAAAATTATGCTGGAAAACAAAGACATGGGGATATTTTGAAGGTACAGTTGAGTAAACAAGCCTGTTTAGTATTTCCTTAGCTCCATCCCTGTTGCTACTTTAAGCACATTTGTACATCGATCAGTGCTGAAAGGGATTAAGATTAACTTGATCTAATTAAAAACCTCAGACTGTGGATTCTTTAGATTCAAAATCTGTTTTTGGATTTTAGCAAAGAAACACAAAATTTATTTTTGGACTCAAGAATCCGGATTTGGAAGTTGCCAAATTAAGGCAGTATGGAAATAGAGAGGTGCCAACATCTTGCAATTTACTTTCATACATGCGCTTCATTGTAGCTGTTGCAAAATTAGAACTGTTGGTGAAAAAACATTCTAGGGTGAAGCTGTTTAGTTAACTGCTTACTGAAGTATGTCGAGGGACCTTGCATTCAATTTCAGTTATCGCTGCACGAAAAGAAAAAATATGCACGGGATCGTATCATCTAGGATTACATTTATATGCATATTCATGAATTGAAGAGACATGATGTAACGATCAACCTGGTTATAGGAAGAACATCGAATATTAGCTACATACAGTGCACATGTACCACTGTTGGTCTATCATTGCCCAAGGCAATACAATTTAAAGACTGCATCTTGAGATGAAATCTCGCAAACAAGCGGACTAAATCAAAACATTGGCCATTTCATATTCACAATAATCAACAGGGCACTGACCAAGATAACGATATAAACCATTTTCCATCTGAAACAACATCGAAATTTTGAGTATTTCTACAAGTTGAACACATTGTAACACGAAAAGGCTATAGCAGTAGCTTTAATAAATGTCAGCGAGAGCAACGCTTTTCGCGGTAAATGCTCTCCATGGTGCATTTATTTTTTGGCACCAAAATGTCAAAAGGTGAAACGACACGGCAGAGGATACAAACCACTTCCTTCTTAAAGCGAAAATAAATGAAAAAGGGTAATATACTTGATTAAAAGGTACATTACATTTTAAACCAGCTATAACTATTAGGAGGACAATAGTACTTTTTTTTCCAATGATCAGCGATTTTAAATCGTAATCATTTCGTTTGAAGCCGTCTGGAATGAACTTGAAACGAGAAGCAAATCATTTTGGTTTTTCCGTCGATCGAATGCCTGTTCTCAGAACTAAAATATTCTACCCAGCACAAATTTAACCGTCTCTGAAACGTTTCAACTGACCAGACCTCTTTGGACCGATCAAACAGGCTTAAAAACCTGATATTTAACCAATACCTCTGCTAGACGGACAATGTATCTTGGCACACGAACCAGCAAGAAGAAATTTCAAATGAATGAAAATAATAACATGGCGGGCCGGGCCAACATCACTACGACGTTACGGATTTGGACATATCACCTTATTCTTGATTCTAAATGATACAATTTACCGGAACTCACAGAACAAGTAAGACTAGGCGTAACTAGTGAGATCTGGATCTTACTTTCAACCAAAATTTATTGAGAATTACGTCTTTATTGGAAGTCGAGAGCATCGCCGCTTAAAAAGTTGCGCAACGAACAAATAGTCTTGTTCGATCAAAGCGGGATCTAGTGTTATTCCATATTGTCTTAATCTCAAACCCTTCGAGAATCGTTAAGAAACGGCGGTAAAAAAATACTACACGAAACAAAATAAACGCACGGACGGACTATAACAAGTTATTCCTGTCCGACAAACGACAAAATTCGCGAATCCAATGTACACGGCGTGTCAAAAATTCTACTGTTGAGTCGATTGTATGAAACCTTCCCATAAAAAACGATAAAGAAGGTAAGAGAAAACGTCCCAAATGGCCTTTTTAAGGATTCATTCTAGCTCAGTCCTTAATTATTAGAAGATGCATTGTTCAAATAGGGAATTCGTTCGCCGTTCAACGGCAAATGCTCCCCCGAAAGAACCAACACAAGTTTGCAGCTGACAAATGTTGAGCAGTAAAATCCCGCGCAATCGCCGACGGCAAACAACCGGCGGCTTCTTACATGCTTCACGGGTATTCTTTTCCAACAAAACACGACCTTTCATATCAGAAACACATATTACGTTATAAACTTTGCAAACAGTGGGCACAATGCGATTTCCAAAGCCGCTGTCACTCTCTCCGCTCATTAACATTTCAGCAAAAATAAACCACAAGGGTGTTTTGACAGTATTCGGAACTTGGGAAGCACCTTGTGTTCGGACGAAGATCTTTCACCTCACATTGTCGGATGATAAGCATCCGTTCTCTTTTTCTCTCTTTTCTGAGCTTCAGGGCGGTCTGGATCCCGAGTAGATGCGATCGACCGCCAAATTCAAAAACTCGTCGAAGTGAAAGGCCTTCGTGGAAAATATTCTCATATCTCCCATCTAAACACTTACCATAGATCTCAACCATTGCTTTTCATTCCTTTGCTGTCGACGATTCCCGAGTAATCCATTCCGGTTTGTAAAAACCACAAGCAAAGGGCAAAACACCCTGTGAACTCCAACAAAATTGTATCCCCACTAAATTTCCTTCTCTTGAAAAAACAAAAATCGCGCGCTGAATCAGCAATCACGTTGTAGTTGAATAAGTCGAACCGCTCCCCAACAATTATAACTTTTCCAGTCTTTTTGGCGCATCAATAATTAAGCTTCTGAGATCTCCACGGACAGATTTAAGCAATGTTCTCCTGTAAATAACAAAGTTCCATAAGTCGATCGATTGCTCCGCGTTAAAAAATTCGAAATTCGAACGAAATATTGCTCGATAAACCGTTGAAAGGTGATGGTCGTGACAAAACCCGATGACGCGACGCAGTGTTGCTATGACAATGTCAATTACAAAAAAGAAGCGTTGTAAGAATTTGAATTTCCATCAAACAATCGAGAGCAAGCAGAGAAACCGTAAAAAAATCAGTTATTTTCACATTTTAAAACCAGAAATCGCTCAATCGTCTTTCCTCCGGTAGGAGAAAAGAGGAGGAAAGCAAAATTTGAAATGTTTTCGTTGTTTTTCATAATGAAAGGAAGAAAAACGTGTACGATGAGATCTCTAAAAGTTAAAGAGACGCGGGTGAGCAAGAGATTGAGTGAGTCATGAAAAACGTGAGTAAAAAATGTTTCTACAGAGAGGTTTATTAAAAATATTTTTTTAAGTGGTATGACTAATTTAAATCAAATCATACGTGCTTTGAATATTGGTATGGTTTTCAATAATATGACAACAATGTTTAGAGAAGAGTGAGTCATCGCAAAATTGGGATACATGATGTAACGACACGAGAAAGTTCTAATACAGTTTTTATACTGATATACGATTGCAATGCACCGATTTTCTCAAAAAAGAAACAATCATTAAAATCATAAATTAGGTGTTGCAGCCAAGACGAATTACTAGCAGTACGTGAAGTGATTTTAGTGGTAATATTTTTCTAAAAACTA